CCCCGGACACGTCAGTGCTTGGGCCGTCAGCCCCTGGGTTATCCGGCTCGGCGGTACACTGGGGTGAGCGGCGCAGCTTTTTAGATAAGAAGGTTGAATGTTATTATGGTCTCACATTGTTTTGTCTTCAGTCTCTCTTTTTGTCGGTGGCGGTCTCGCTCTGACACGAGCCATGCGTACGAACATCAACCAAGGTGGCACTTAAAGGTCACGCCGATCAACGCGTTTAGCCGGATGCAGTGGGTCCGTCCACTCTCAGGACGGCAGAGAACGAGCGAAATATCAGATAGACCTGCAGGTTGACACGGTCGGAATTGCGGCCGTTGTCTCGAGGGTAGGTTCAGGCGGGGGGAGACGCAGCACGAAGGAAGTCCAGGCATCGTAGAAGAGAGTTTGGGTAAGACAGAGAGTTCGAGATTTACAGAGATTTAACTAGTGTACGGAGATGAACAAGAGAGTTCGAGAGGTAGAGAGAGAGGAAGAGAGAGAGTGAGCCCCACGCGAGCGGGGGAAGTGATTCTGGCTCCGAGGCCGACTGTCCTAACTGCGTGCCGGGGTTCGGGTGAGTAAGCCCCGTATTCGTGCCGGCTTCTTGGTAGGGGTGAGTGAATATAGCAAGGCGTATCTACAAATGAGGCGGGTGCAGTGGCTTAGCCGGAAAGTAAACGGTCGAGTCTGTCACCCCGGAGAATGGACGCAGGGAAGTTAGTCTATCCTTCATGCGGGCTGCAAGGCCCAAGCTGCTCACCGAACCTGCACGGTGAGGGGAACAGCCGATACTTGTTTTAGCTGGACTGTTAGCCCTATTTTGCCTCTCCGGTTACTGCGTTCATAGCTATACTGTGTGTCTACCTCATGTGTTTACCGTAGTAATAAGCAGTGCTGAACTATCTCTTGGCTTTATATATCGATTACAACGAGAGAGGCTCGTGACACGCGAGTTGCAACGAGGCAAGGAGAGGATAGGGGGGCGTTGGCCACGTGCGGGTGTGCATTAACGTAGGTCGTTGCGGTACTATCGTCACATAGCACTGTTGACTGCAAGCTACGACGGCAAGCTCGGACCGCTCGAATAGCACGAACTAGAGCCGGGTTGTGTGCCGGGGGCCGGCAGGATACGCTGTCGAAAAAGCGCCCTGGGTGTACGGCCGCGGTAGCGGCTCAGCGAGGTCCGGCCCTCGAACATTTGAGTACCGAAGTCACGGCCAGTGAGCAACTTGCTTAAGAGAAACAGAATGCCCGTCACGTCTCGCAGACACCCAAACGGGTAGTGCTACTACAGAGACTAGGATTGTTTAACCATATTTGGTGTAGTGCTGATACGAGGCAATTGGCATAGCCAACCGGGGTGTCGCGACCGGGAAAATGCACGAAACCGTCTAACAACTAGCAAACGCAAATATATTTTTGATCATCACCAATCTGTGTGTGTCTACTACAATTTACAATGAAAACATTTACCGACACACCCAGGCACCAACCAATGAATCCCTCCACAGCATGAGCCAGCAATGATGAATGAGTGGGTTGTAAACAATGATCTACGCTAGTCAATAGTTCAAAACCATCAGGGCCGTAGGCTGATGAGTTTACAATAAACAAGATGGCATAACACAGTGATTAGTATGTCGAAAACAAAGAAAATATAGATGAGCTTATTAGTCTATAAGATAGAGTGTTGATCGGTTGAACTCCATGAACTAGGACAGTATAGTCAACCACATACAGAACAACCATCTGAGTATTGCTTCGAACGCTAACAGTGACATTGCCAGTGTCTAGCTCAGTTAAAGAAACCAAATAGCATCAATCAAAGCATAGGACAAAGCGTCTCGCATCATTCGACCTGTAGCAGCACATGGTTCCAGCAAGACACGCGATTCATCCATACAGCTAATCGAGCAAAAGTCGAAATCTCTGACATGTATCCAAAAGTCATCAACGCAGCGAGCCATAAGAAATTCTTGCTACGGAGGAATAACGATCTATTTCTGTCTGAAAACAATACTGAGTCTTTGACAGTAACCATATACGCTATGAGCAAATACATCGACTAAAGGAAGTGTACCATTCTCACTTGTGTTTCTGCTCCCCTCACAAGAAGCCCCATCAATCTAATTTAACACCCAATTTTATATTGATCCATTGCCAGAGAAAGTGAATTGATCATCATGTTAAATGAACACTGTTCGGGAGCCCTAACCATAATGCGAACCCAGCAACTACCCATGGGTCAGGCTCAAGCCTACATCTGTGCCAAGAAGAGTGGAGACCTAAAGGCACGAATGGTCATAGACTACCAGGAAGTCTCAACAAAAGTTCACTAGGAAATACACATATCATACTCCACGTTATCGTCAAATCTCAATTAGACTCTATGGATTGCATAAGATGTTGTTTTTCACTAGTTAAAATAAAAAATAAACCTGGAACGATTTGATATTAGTGTCCTGACATTAATTACTTGCTATGGGCTATGTATGCGTCACGAGTGTATGTTCACATCGAACAATATATAGTAAAATAAGAAGTATAATGCAGCAATTTAACCATAAAAAGAGAACAGAATTACAATATATTTTGTGAAAAAGTGGAAATATTTATTTTATTTTTTACTATTTACGGTAACGTAATCACTTTAATTACTTACCAACATTGGTACGTGTGTGTGCGTGCGTGTGTGTGTGTGTGTGTGTGTGTTGTGTGTGTTGTGTGTGTGCGTGTGTGTGTGTGTGTGCGCGCGCATGTGCGTGCGTGCGCGTACGCGTACGTGTTCGTGTGCGTATGTCCGTCTGGTCACGCGTGCGTGTGTACATGAGTGTGCGTGCGTGTTCTGGCTCGCGTTTATGTGCGCACGTCCATACTTCGGCGCACGGGAATTAAATTACGTACGTCGCGGTATGGCCGTCGCAATGATTGCTCACGTGATGACAGGAGATCGGTGGCAGATCGAGTTTTTAAGCTGCCTGGCAAACGTTGCCGCGTCGGTGAATCGTAGCAGACGATCGGATGTGCGCAGCAGACGTGATTTGTGCGAGGAAGGCACGCGATGACTTGTCGATGCGAGGAAAGAATGTCGATGGAAGACCGGTCGGCATTCTATACCAGTGTCTAATAGGGCAATATTCCGTTTGCTTTGCTGCTCAGATAGAAAACCTGAATTGTCTTCGTAGAATTGTTCCTGTGCGATTCTCTTCTGGTATGCGTGCGTGCGTGCGTGTGTACGTGTGTGTATGAATGTACCAAACAAATTAAATCCTGTTTTGTCGAATCCAAGATGTTTGCGCACATCTCGTGATCACGGTTGTGTTTCAACACCTACAATCGCTCCCACCCGAGCATTAGCTCTCCTATACTCCGCCGATTTTCTACGGTTGACCCATCCATTTATCACTGTTGCTGTAGAATGTTCCAAAAGACAATCATTGTTGCGGTAAAATGTTCCTAAACACAATCATTGTTGCGTTGGAATGTTCCAAAAGACCATCATTGTTGCGGTAAAATGTTCCTAAACACAATCATTGTTGCGTTGGAATGTTCCAAAAGACAATCATTGTTGCGGTGGAATGTTCCAAAAGACAATCATTGTTGCGGTGGAACGTTCCAAAAGACAATCATTTAACGAAGTGCCGCAAAGTCATCAATTTGTCAGGCGCTCGTGAAAAACACAGAAATCGGTCTAGTCTGGTACCGACCTAGTAACAGGGTGAAATAAGGGCATGGTGGTTATTATCTCGCTCAGACTGATAGGTTAACATTATGCGGCTAGCTATATATTAGTACTCAACTCGCTGGCGTAATATTTATCGCGCCAACAGACGGAAGCTAAATATCCGCCCGACACCACGCATAATCACACATCACATCACCACACACCACTACACATAACCACACATCACCACGCATAACCACACATCACCACACATCACCACACATCACCACACATCACCACACATCACCACATACAACCAGTGACCACACATAACCACGCATCCCCACACGGTAACATCCCAGTTGGCCTACCCCCATCTCGTCTACGTCCCATCTCGTCTACTCTCAGAATCGGCATTATTCCCATTTTGCCTACTCCCATTGTACTATGGCTGATAGGGTCTATGTCCCCCAGGGTACTATCGGAGGGTACCCTGGGTACGTACGGTTCGATATATCGGAACGTACCCTGGTACTATCCAATATGCCGGACCGTACCTCGCCTACTCCACTAACGAGTCTAGGGAGTCGCCTACGCCTACTCCCTAAGTAACCATATCAGATAGTTACCAGGGTACGTTCCGATATATCGAACCGTACCCAGGGTACCCTCCGATAGTACCCTGGGGGACATAGACCCTATGAGCTGTACTATGTCCCATTGTACTCCCATTGTATGTTCCCATTTTTGTGTCTCCATTTTTGTCAAGTTGTGTTCTCGTTATTTCTACCTGTTTTCTTCTGGTTCCTGTAGTCTATGTATGTATGCCAATCAAAACCATATTTTATTATTTATAAATGATTATTTAGTGAACAACCCGATCGTAGCCGAAATGGGAATGGGGTAGATTTTGAGCGTATAGACGAAGTGGGAGTAGGTGAAATGGGTGTAGGTCAACTGGGAATTTTGCTGTAGGCGAAATGGGAATTTTGCCGTAGGCGAAATGGGAGTAGGCCAACCGGGAATAAACCCGCCACACACCACCATACACACATATCAGCAAAAATCACCTCACATTGCCACACATCACATCCCCACACATCACCACACATACACCACACATCACCACACATCACCACACATAACCACACATAACCACACATAACCACACATCACCACACATCACCACACATTACCACACATCACATCACCACACATCACCACACATCACCACACATCACCACACATCACCACACATCACCACACATCACCACACATCACCACACATCACCACACATCACCACACATC